GCACTTTTCATTGCCAATAGTTGTCTGTTTATAGACACAATTGGCCAGAACCCACTGGGATTTCTCCTTGATAGGTTGCATGGTATTGAGCTGGTCTAAGACATAAGCATAAGAAAGCGACTGTCTCAAACATATGATGTTTTGACCTGCAATGTGCTAGGCACAGAAAGTTGCATATGTCTTAGAACATGGGCGAGGAAATGGTGAAAAACCATTGCCAGCAAGTCTGGAACCAAGCATAGGTCAAGCGCACTGCTTTTTGGAACCTTGCCCAGAATTGTCAACTGTGAATGGCAGTGACTGTCCAGAGTTTCTAGTGCTCGCTAGAAATCCCTGGAATTGTGTCACAGTCTCCTAACTACAGTGGTGCCCCGCATGATGACGATAATCTGTTCCGTTAAAATCACTGTACAGTGAAATCGTCATCATGTGAAAAAAAACACCACATTGGAATGCATTGAAAACCGGTTAATGCATTCCAATGGGGAAATACCTCCTCGCCCAGCGAAGATCGCCTATAGAGAACCGCCAATCAGCTGTTTGAAATCGCTGTCTTCCGGAGCTTCTGTCCAGAAAACAGCCATTTTGCGAAGGGAGGGAAGCCATTTCGCGAAGGGAAGCCATTTTGCAGAGCCGGAAAAAACATCATTTTGCAAACAAACAGTTCGCGAAGCAGGGACCTAATCAATGTAAAGCAGATTTCCCCCGTAGGAACCATCGTTTTGCGATCGGAATAGCGAATGCAAAAAAGTCATCGTCAAGCAATTTCGTCGTTTACCAGGGTAAGCATCTAGCGGGGCACCACTGTACACATGACCCTGTTGAAGAGGACACGATCGGGTGCGCTCAGGATTGTGTGATATACCTCACAGGGAAACAAAATCCAATTGGGAGAAGATGTCCAGATTTTTAAGGAATAGTCTCTCCAGCCCCATCTGGAGATGGTGGGAGTTCAAACAAGGGCTTTTCTGCAAATAATGTGTATCCTGAGCTATAGCCTGCCCACATTTCTCCCACTCTTCTCTACTACAACCCTTTCTATTATTTCTGGCAACTCATTGTCTCCATCTTCATTGCTTCATTCTCAGCCTACAGGGAAAGGACTAGGGCAAGCGGCTTCTGTCAGATGCCTGACAACTTGGAAAGCACTTCAGACATTAAACAGAGGGTTGCAGGTTGCTCATTCCTGCTTTAGCAGCAGCACCTTGTCACAGCGAAAGTGAATATTCAGAAATATTCAAATCTGGGGCAATGTTCCCATGTCACCATCTACACGTTTTTAAAGGAGAAAATTCCCAATGCACATTTCAGCATTTCCCAGATTGTAGTCCAACCTCAGGAAGATCTTTTGATGAAAATGAAGTCCACTTTGTAATGTCGTGGGGTCTTTTGTGTGTAACAAATGCATATTTTGCAACCAGTAACTGTGAAGCTGGTAGCACTGCAAATGAAAATTTCAGCATCTGAATGACATGTAAAAGTCTCAGATTTCAAGGTCTAGCATTTTTAAGGATCCCAGCGCACCATAACATAAGAATGAGGATGCTGCACAGAATGAAACTAGTATCCTGGAAGCATTTCTTACAACCTCGTGGCCTGCAGTCCAAACTGGTGCACCACTAACCTCTCACCTTTCTCCCTTTTGAACAAGTAACTTAGCCATTCTGGGGCGGGCTTTCTTACTGAAATCCTACATTTCCACAAAGCTGCCATGCATCTGAGCTCACAACAAGTTCACAGTTTGCTCCTGTCCCCTCAAAAGATCTTACCTGACACCCCTTTTCCTTTCTTGTTTCATGTTTATAGAAACTTGACAAGCTAATAGAGAAGGCTAAAATTAACAGCAAATACATGGTGAAGCAGACTCAGATGAATATATTAAATAAGTCATGCTAAATTGGAACAGCAAAGAGGCGGCACAATTCCGGATTGAAAGGGAAGGTTTGATCTTTGGGCTGGAATGTCCGGGACAAGAAGAGTGAGTTAGGGAGGCATGCCGTCTTCGGGCAGAAGTGTAAATATGGATAAAAATCAGGGGTGTTTGTGTGTTTCCAGGGCAACCGCAGGGCAGAACAAACAGTCCAGAGGACTGGTGGAGAGTGAGAAACAACACATCCAATGGATCCTTCATATTAAATCCAGCTTTTATGAGGTTAAAAATGTTAAAATAAATTAAAAGAAAATATTCCATGTGTAGGAAAGGGAATTTAAAGGATCAATGCCTTATAAGAAAGACACTGAATCAGCTTTAAAAGATGAAACTGAATGTTTTATTCCAAATAGTTTTAAAAAAACTGAAACCAGATTAGGCCAAAAGCATTTCTGATTTTGAAAAATTGGTCTTTGGGGTGGAGGAACGCAAAAGACCAAGGCTTCTAGGAGCAGTATCTCACCTTTCTTGCTGCAAAACACAGAAACATACATTTTGAAGAAGAAGAAAAAGATCATCATCAACATCTTAGAACTGCTAAGGGAGTTTAATGTGTTTATGGACTTCAAAGACAACAGTTGCTGCAATAAGAACACCTTTTCATCACCTTTATTTATTATTTTTCCCTTTTTGCCATTGAAACTCCTGGAGGGCCATATGATTCCTGCCTGGGTCTACTGATTTCTTCAGAGTAAATGAAAAAAATAAAGAAAGATCACAAAGAACGCAGATATTAGTGAAAATTATATCCAAAAATGGAAAATTGTTTCCGAAGTTATGTATCTTATGCAAAATAACATACCCATATGCAAGTATATAGTCATATAGGATTTTTTTCATGCAGTTAAAAAAAATCTAAAAATTCAGAATGAACAGAATTTAAGATTGGACAATTCTCAAAATTTCTGTCAAACTGAACTAAAGAAAGGAGAAATGAGTAACACAGAAACTAACATTGACAGATTGGGCCATTCCTAACGATGTCACAGCTGAACACCAGACAGTTGTTGTGTGGGAGTTGGGGACAGGAAAATCTATCAGTTTTGGTTTATCTTGCGGGTTGTTTTTGCCCTGAATATGATATTAGTCAATTTGGTGTTCTTTCTCTCCACCAAATGAACTGAAATGAAATATTCTCTCAGCTTTTTTGGCCTGATTCAAGTACTGGTATTCCCAGCATGGAGGTGGCTGTTTTGTATCTGACAGCCATAGATCTGTTAAAGAGAGCCGCTGTGGGGAAAAGGAATTCAGAAGGAAAATGCATGAATACAAACAGATTTAGAGACAAAGAATATACAATGAAAATGAATAAATGCAAAGAGGTGTTTAAGAGTAAACCACTCAAAGCCCAGAGCCTGGATGGAGTTTCAGTTTCTCCCTTTTTCAATTATTTTATTTTACTTTATTTTGTTATATTTTTCAGCTGAAATCTTGTTGCTTAGCGTAGTGAGTCACACTAGAAAGGGACCACTGAATCCATGGAAATTTGGTTTGGCAACTCTTCCAAAGTTTCATTGGTTCAACTAGGCCTACCCTAGTTGTGATTTACTTTATTTATAGAACTTATGGTGGTGTTGATTCACCAAATCCCTGCTGATTAAACAGGCCAACTATTTACTTACTACACTAAGCAACAGGATTTCAGTTGCCATCCTCCTTTCAATTCTGAATGGGGAGTTAGGAACCGACCATCAGGAATCATGCCAAGAATCAAAGTTAAATAGATAGAATTGAAAGGTCAAGTGAGGAGAAAGATGCAGTTGGCCAAAGCAAAGTAAAAGTCAGTAAACACAATGACTTCACATTCCAAGTCTATATAACCAATGGAGCATCCAGTTTCAACAAGGTATTTCTCAATTGAGAAGCTGTTGTTTTTTATGGCCTTCAGCCCAAATCTCTCCATGAAGAACTTAAGAGCTAAGGAAATAGGAACTCAGGAAGCTGTCTTACATTGAACCAGAGATTCCCTTCTGGATCAAGGCAGTCACTCTCTCCTCCAATAATATATCCTGCCTTGAGTGAGTTGTGATGTTCTCCATTTCATTCTTAAAAAGTCTCCAGCAGTGTGAGCCACAAGTAAAGCAAAGAAGCAGAACTGGGTAGTAATTTTATCGGACCACCTTTTCTGGTTTTCTAAGGAAGAAGAAAGGCAGTCACAAACATCAGCTGAAAGGCAATTAATTGTCAGTTCGCCTGCAAGCCCTTTGGCCACGGAGATGAACAATTGATTGTATATCCCTCGATGTAGAGGCCGTATGGACCATACTGGGGGACACAGAAGGAACTTCCCTGAGGAACATGAGGATTGTGAACACATTCGGGGGTCTCCTGAGCAACAAAAGCACCTTGTTGGCTGATGCTTCTACTCCAGAAGCACCATTAGATTGCTTCAAATGCAAAGAAAGAAGATGATGGACCACACCTCTTGCTGAGCCTGCCGTCTCCATTTTGCAGATTAAGGAACTATACAGTTCCTATGATTTTAAGGTCAGGACGGTTTCCTAGTTTTCCTGTGTTTTACTCCCCAGCTTCCCAACTTTTGCAATGCTTGGAAATCATAAACTTGATGAAGATTTTTCTGTGTGTGTGTGTGTGTGTGAGGGACTTGAAAGACATTTATTGGGTCTGCTTTTTTGAACCCTCAAAGTAGCTTCTTACGTTGCTCTGCAGGTCAGTTGTGAATCCCAGGAACTTTGTCTGTGTATTGGAAGGAAGGGAGGGTCCTGGAGACTCTCCTATGTATGCAAAGCTTGTCACTGGGAGCTAGAACACTTTCTCCTGAGGTTTTTTTTAAAAAATATATTCCTGCCAGTGGGAAACAGGAAACAAATATATGATCACCACATTTTTCTCTCTCTCTTTCTGGCTTTCTCTATTACACACCTCTTGTTCATAAAAAAAAACAACAACAAATTCTGTGTTTCTAAAAAAAATCTTTACTTTCATATACACTTTTTTAAAAAAGCCTGATTGAGTATGCTAAAACAAAGCAAGCATCAAAAGCAAGCCCACTCCACACACACACACACACACAAAGAAAAATCTTCCACAAAGAAAATGCAATGCTTAATAATATAATGAGGCTTTGTTGCACTGTGATTAGAAATATACAAAGATCCTTGCCATTTGGCAGTTTTTTTTTAAAATCGCATGACACTTGTATTATTTTCGCAAGCATTTCCTGTGAGTTCTTGTACGACTTGTTCAGAAGGCTTTAAGGAAAACAGCAATCACCGTAGATCACCACCCACTTCTCTGCACGTCTTAGATGAAGAGATGTTACCTTCCTTTGCCTCCTGGCAGGGCTTCTGTACCTTTGCAAGGCAGAAGTTTTGATAGTTAAAACTTTGCCTTTTGCTGAATCTTTATGCTGGCTAAAAGATCACTTGTTTAATTCCTTCTCCTCGCACAGCTCAGAAAAACCCAGGAGTCCTGCTGAGCCATGAGTGGGAGACGAAAGAGAGAAAGATGGCATTCTTTCATTGAACGGAAGGAATAATAACACTGTAATTTAACATGGCTGTAACTGCTGACATCGCAGGCTCCCCAGGCACACCACTGCTGGAGCTTCCTGTAGATGGGGTGTCCCAAAGACGGTTTGTTGAAAAGTTTGAGAGCAGTCACTTGCTGACTGTCCCTGTCCCATGATCTACAGAAGAAACATCTGGACAATAACATACATGGGGTTTGGGTTTGGTTCGGTTTGGCTTCTTGCTCAATGATAATGGCCTTTTCGAAAATACCCAAAGAAACCCATATCTCCAACTGTGGCTGAAATCCAATAATAACTCACAACTAAAGTAGACCCACTGAATCAGTGGGGCTTTGGTGAATTAACACCTATGTAAGTTCTATTCACCCAATGGATCAACCTTAGTTGTCAGTACTAGATTTCAGCCAGTGATTCGGGCCCTCTTTGCCTTTCGGGAAAGAGAGTGCAAAATTACAGATACAAACATACACACATTGATAACAAATACATGAACCCAATACAGTGGTACCTCGACTTATGAACTTAATCCATTTTGGAACGTTGAAAAGTTCGTAAGTCGAAGTACCATTTCCCATTGAAAAGCATGGGAACAGAATTAATCCATTCCAGCATTGCAAAAGGCAAAAAGGCAATGGGAAAGGGCTGGAGGTGAGTGAGGAGGTGAATGCCATGTTGGACTAGGGCTGAGGAGATCTGGGTTCAAAACCTCATTAGCCTTGGAAGCTCACTGAGTATAGCAACAGTAGCTCAGGTAGTCACCAAAAGTCAGAAGCTTATCTACCATATTTTTCGCTCCATAAGACGCAGCTTTCCATAAGACACACCAATTTTTAGGAGAAGAAAACAGGAAAATATAATCTGTTTTCTTCGCTCCATAAGACGCACAGACTTTCCACCCCCCTGTTTTGTGGGGAAAAAGTGTGTGTTATGGTGCGAAAAATACGGTAGTTTGCCCAAGCCTACACAAAATGACTCCTCTGGGATGCACGGTGGAGAATTGAACTCCCAACCTCTGAGTCTGCTCTCACTGAACCAGCTAATGCCGTTTTTATAGAATCCCTCTATTTGGAATGTACAATCACTGCCTTTTCGTTGTCAGCTTTCCTACTTGTTAACATTACCTTCTTGGCATTGCTATTTTTCTGTGCCACCTTGTGCAGCCTTGGGCAAGCTAGACGATCCCAAGATGCACCCAGCAAAAGGGAATGGGAAACCACTTCTGATTCCTTACCTAGAAAACCTTGAAAAAGGGACACCATAAGTCAGAACTGAGTTGATGGCACACAATTCATTATAAAAGTGACACAGGGATGTAGTGACGCTGCAGGTTAAACCTCTGAAGCCTCTGGGCTGCAAGGTCAGAAGACCAGCAGATGTAAGATCAAATCCACGTGACGGAGTGAGCTCCCGTCGCTAGTCCCAGCTCCCGCCAACCTAGCATTTCGAAAGCATGTAAAAATGCGAGTAGATAAATAGGGACCACCTTGGTGGGAAGGTCACGGCATTCCGTGTCTAGTCGCACTGGTCACGTGACCACGGAAATTGTCTTCAGTCAAACACTAGCTCTATGGGTTGGAAGCGGGGATGAGCACCGCCCCCTAGAGTTGGACACGACTGGACAAATTGTCAAGGGAACTTTTACCTTTACCTTTTTAAATATATCCCACAGAGAACTGCCAGGCCCAAAGGAATTGCCTTAAACCCTTTTCCAAAGGCATATTTCCACTCCTTTACTACTCAAAACCAGCACGATGTTATGTACCATTAAGTTGCCAGGTATGGGAAGACCATTCTGCAGAGGATCTGAGGGTCAGGAGGTTAAGAAGCTGTGCTTTCAACACCTCAGGGCTTCACATTTTCCCTGGTGGAGTGACCAAACCGCCACTCATAACACACAGAATGTTGGAAGACAAACTAGGGAACACAGACCACAGGTGAACAGAATTTTCCTTCGATAATTGATAGAGCTTGCGTATAAAGCCCATTTCCGCCTGCCTCCCTTATCCCCAGCAAGAGCACACCTGCCTGAGTGGTTTTCTCAGCATTACAGCAATGAAGTACTTACATCAGCAGGGTTTCCTTTAATGCATGCAGCTTCCGAGTTTGTGCTGTTCAGCTGCCACTGTAAATGTTGCCTCAAAAAATTCCTCTTGGCACTGAATTTATGCAGCCGACTTAGCTGAGAATCATGCCAGTACACTCTGTGCACAGAATGAGAAACGTAGGAATATTTAGTTTCTGGAAAACAATTTTTTTGTGCAGTTTAATTCTTTTCGCCCGCCTCCCCGATTCTGTTTGAAGCAAACTAAGTCTGTCAGATATACTTAGGTTTGGATTCCTGCATTGGGCAGGGGTTGGACTTTATGGCCTTCTAAACCCCTTTAGGCTGTCCTTCTAAGTCCAAAAAGAGGAGAGAGAGAGAGAAAAAAAAACTATCACTGAAGTGAAATTGTCTTAAATCAACAATTTTATTTGAAGTGTAAATGAAGTGTTTTCCCCTCCCCTCCCCCAATTCTTCTAACAGTGGCAGGAGATTTTCTGCACTAACTGTGGGTTCATTCACTGCTGGGAATGTGTGACTGGGTTGATTTTCTGTTGGCTTCATAAGCATGAACTCTCTGTGAGACTGGGAAAAATCTTCACTGTTTTCCAAGAGTTCCCTTTCAGTTCATAAGGGTAGTGGGCTAGGCATTGAGGGTGCCGTCTGCAAGCATACAGAGCATTGTCTGCATTCGGAACTGCAGCTCAGAGTGTATGGGAATCTGGCCATCATCCCCCTTAACAAGTATACCCAAGAAATGCCCAACCCCCATCTCAATGCAAGAATCCAAATCAAAGCAGATCTGATCGATGCTTGTCCAATTTTCTCAGGCACTCACCACCTCCGAAGGTCATGGATTCCATTGTCATACTGCTCTAACACTTAAGACGTTTTTCCTGATACTTAGCCTAAATTTGTCTCCCTCTAGAGTGAGCCCGTTATTACACATCCCACACTCTTGGATGACTGAGAACACATCCTGCCCATCTCTTGTATGTTGGGTGGGGAGAGGAAGAACATTATAAACTGACCTAAAGAGGGAAGATATCAATCTAACAAAAGGCTCCTTGGTTGAGTGATGTAGTCATGTGGTTTAAAGCAATCAATAAATGTTTCAGCAAGAGTAAGCCTTTCAATCATGGAATAATGTTTGATCATATATCATACGAACATGTGGGTTTGGACATTTAGTCTTCTGAATTCTGACCATACGTCATCGGAATGTCCCCAAATCTCATTTTAAGATCTGAGAACTAGTGTTCTGCCTGTCATGTCTCACCTTGATAAGTTATCTTGAGAAGGGGAAGAGGATTTTTTTTAGCTGGCAGGAGAAACAGGGAAAAAGGAACCTAGTAATCTGGTGGAAGCACTCTTGGGGAGAAGGTCTAAGGCTTGTTTTACCACTGAAGATGATGAGGTGGGCCAGGCAGGTATGAGGCCAATATGCCTGAGAGACAAGCTAAGAAGATTCAAGCAAAATCATCATCAGTGTCTCAAGGTCTCTTCATAACTACCTGGGAACAGCTGGGTGCCCAGGAGAGACATGCAGAGAGCTTCAAATTTGTGAACTACATCACTTAGTATGTGAGAGACAACTCTTTAATAACCTCTCACTTGTGCCCGTGAAGCCTTCCATGGACTCCGAACAAATTATGACCTTGACTTCCGGAAATCCTGCTTCTGCCTGCACTGCAGTACAAGAAAATGAATAACTTGCCCTGGATTTTTCATGTGACAGTCATTCTGTTAGGAACTGAACTAGCTTTGAGGATCTGGCCTAGATTTGCTGTATACAAAAGTAACAATAGTGTGGACAGTTGTAAGTGTGAAGAAATTTAAAGGCACCAGTAAGCTCAGAATAAAAATTATAGCAAATTGACCAGAGAAAGAGCCTGCATCCATCTTGAAGTGCCAGTGTTTTGGTGAGCGAAAAGGTAAAAAGACTCGGAAAGTTGATAGACAGTCAGGCATCTGGACTTGGTAGAGATAAAAAAGGTGCCCGAGGTTAGTACATTCCATTTCAAAGCTGAGTCACACACTGAAGAATCTAATTATGAGTTCAGTGTATGACTTGCTTATTCATAGGCTTGTGAAAGAATCTTGCTACTGCTGAGATTCTGGTCATTGTGGTTGACTCACAATAGTCAGGGATTCTCTAGCTTGTTTGAAATGTGATGTTTCTGGTGAAAGTCCAAGACACTAAATGGTGTTGAGGCGTTCTCATGATTTGGCACGTTGCACAGAACCTAATTTGTTCAAAAGTTTTGCTTCTGTGAGAACTTCGTGTCTGATCACCCAGTGAAGCTACTGTATATATTGAGAAAAGACACATACAAAAAAAACCCCATCTAATATTCTTACATGCTGCAAAAGCTTCATATTTTCCAATTCTGCAGATTTTACAGAAACATACAAAACACTCATGAAAATATACATATTTTTAATTACCTAAACTACAGTTGCATGGCAGTTTGATAGCACTTTGGCTACAATGGTTCCATTCTATGGAATCCTAGAATTCAGGATTTGAGCATGGTCTTAGCTAGAGATCTCTGGGACATTTCCTTGAACTAGAATTCTGAGTGCTTCCTGAACTACAAATCCCATGAGTCTGTAGAATAGCAATGCAGTGGTACCGAATGGTAATGTATAATGTAGAAACACTTTTGGAAACTGGAAAAAGCCTACTGTCTCATGGCAGTTCATGTCAAGCAGAATTTATTAACTTGCAGTATTTACTACATGAGGACAAATCAGGTCAGGATTTACAACTCTACTGTCAAATAAAGGCAAAATACGGGGAAGTAAGGTATGCTGTTCAACTTACAAGAATGAGACGCTGAAGAGAAGTAAGTTTTGCCAAAGTCAGCTTGAGGATGTGGAGAATGATTGCCAAGGAATATACCCTTCCAACTGAGTGAACAATCCTGGCTAGCCAAGCTGTCACGAAGGCTGCTATTACACTGGCAAGTCAAATCACTCCAATCTTTGCTGAGGCTTGATTCACAGCCTATTTGATGGCCTTTTAGGATTAGGTGATCAAATTGATACTGTGGATTGTTTTGGTGCCAGTGTCCACACTGGCCCCTCAGTTGGTTGTGGTTTGGCTCCAGCCACAGTCCACAGCCTCCCTCCCTTTGATCCTGCCCAGGCTCTCCTTTTGCAGTTCATTGTAAAGCTGGTGGGTGTGGCATTCGCACCTCGTGCCCCTTGCTTGACCGTCAAGACTCAGAGCACATGAAGGCAAACAATCCCCTCTTTTACACTGCTGCCACCAGGTGATCACTAAATCACCATTACTTCAGGAAGATGAAGATTCAGGTCCACACTTAAAAGTCTTTTAAATATAACTTTTGTTTATTGATTACAGAAACTGATAGTGATTCATGAATATCTTCTATAGGTAAATTTATTATTAGCAACCATCTTCTATTTGATAATACACTCCTAACTCTAATCACACCTCTGATTTCTCCAAACTCCACATTCTAGCCCCTTCTCCACTCCCTCACTCTACTCATACTCTGACTCCGACTCTCTCTGGCCCTTACTCTCTAGCTCCGCCTCTTATCACATCTCTCTCAGCTCCACCTCTCTGCAACATGAATATGCATGAACAATTAACATAACAGAACATGAACCATAGACATAAAAAAGAGGAATGCTACAGTGGATTATTCAAAGTGTTGAACAGTGTTAGGGGAAAGAAACAGTTTTCTAAATTTCTCCATAATGTAGAAATACATACACATATATATCATGGGAAGATAGTTGATGTAGTTCATTGGAGCTGTTTCTATTTCATATGAATTTCTCTTTTTTTTTTTCTTTTCACCTCTGCAGAGGTGATCTATCACTAAAGTCAGTAATTTGTTTAGAGGAAAAAAATCAGAGTGACTACAGAGAAAGATCACTGGGGTGGGTGTTTCCGCGGTCCAAAATAGCACACCCAGCTTAGTTTGTCTCCAGAATACCACCCACAGTCACACACATGCGCAAAGTTTTGGAGACTGAAACAACCGCTCACACAGGAAAAAGTCCATTGAAACCATTACACCTCGAAAAAAATGGAAGCCCTCAGCAGCAGAGGGGAAAAAAATCTGCACCAGGAGGGAAAAGAGCAAGACTGGTTTGAAATTCAAATCCTTTCCAGCCTGGGAAAGTTGGAAATTACTTATGAATCCTGTTGCCTTTGCCAGCTTGAGGCTCTTCCAAAATGCACTGCGAGGCTCTTCCAAAACACACTGAAAATCTGAGAACTGTACTGGTATAAGACTTTGTCCGTGGGTCGGAGGGAGTTTGGTCGTGAGGTAACTCAGTTTATCCACCTAGCCTGCCTCTCCTTCCCACTTTTGCCAGTAGATCTCTGAACTCAGCCCCACAAAGGGGTTCGTCAGGCACAAGTTCTGAACTTTGAATCTGATAATTTTTGACAAGATTTAAATGAAATGTTTAATATTATGAAGGGATTTTGCAAATTCCTGAGCTGGCTTACCATCATATAAATTCATCCCAGCCATAGCAATTTATTGACTTCCATGTTTATCGCTGCTTAAATTATGAGAGCAAGTGTTAAGTTTCTGTTCGAGATGGATGATTCTGCCTATTTCCAGACAGTGTCACTTTTGCACATTTTCACCTGTAATTCCATTTCATACATCTGGGATTTTTTAAATCCTCTCAAAATATCTTCTTAAGTGCCTATTTTTATATTCCTAAACTGCCAAGAATGACATCGCAGCATTCAGAGAAGTGTGAAATCTGAGAAATAACTCATTCTGACCCACACAGTAGTCTGAGAGGCGGAGACTTTCCTGAGAAATGTGTGTGGTCATTTCTCATACAGATTTGTGAAGATCAAATTAATCAAGAAACCCTGCTTCATAACAAAGAGCAGTTTGAGAAGTGTAGCTCTCATATGTTCAGTGCATTTTGGAAGAGCCTCGCATCTCACCTCAGATCTAGGGATTGATTCCAATTCAGTGTCATTCCTCAAGGAAGTCATTGGTTCAGAAGACAAACCAAGAGGCCAACTTGAACAATGATTGGGCAGGCTGATGGGGCAGCTCTGGGTTGACCAATAGGCAGTTCCTTTCTGAGAGGACCACTTGCAGAATACAGTAGTGCCTCACTAGACGATGATAATCTGTTCCACTGAAATCGCTGTTTAGCGAAATCATTGTCTAGTGAAAAGCATTTCCCCATTGGAATGCATTGAATCCTGTTTAATGTGTTCCAATGGGGAAGAATCGTTGTTGTCTAGCAAAGATCGGCCATAGGAAAGCCGCTTTGCAAACTGCCGATCAGCTGTTTAAATCGCTGTCTTGCGAAGCTTAGGTCCTGAAAACACCCGTTTTGCGAGCACGGAGGGAGCTGTCAAAATCGTTGTCTAGCAAAAATTGGTTTGCAAAGCAGGGACCAAACATTGTCCAGCGAAATTCCCCCATAGGAATCACTGTTTTGCGAATCGCTATAGCGATTGCAAAAACTCAATGTCTAGCAAAAAACCTGTCATGCGGGGTGACTGTCTAGCGAGGCACCACTGTAATAGCCATACTGACTGGGAGATTCTGAGAACTCTCGTCTGAAAAAGAGAGATCCCCAAGCTATGGCAGTCACATGCATGAAGGATGTTCAATCAGTTGAGGTTAGTGTGATACCCAAATGGTTTCTACAAGGTATCTGTCCACTAGAGATGGGCATGAACCACCAATTTGATGGTTTGTGCCAGTTGAGTTTTTGCCTGAAGAGGAGGAAGGACCGGGAAGTCCCAGACACCTGCTCATCTGAAAGATAAATTGCTCAACTGGTGCTTCATGCCCATCTCTAGTATCTTCCCTATTCTTGAACACAGAGATAAGTGGTTAAATGGTGGTGGTGGTGGGGAAACATTTCACTGAATTTCTCTGGGACAAAGAGAAATAACTAGGCAGATAATTTATCTGAGTCGACCTCACCATAAGCAGTGGCAGTGGCACATCTCCCTTGTCTTCCTTCAGAGGGTAGCAGAAGCAAGCACATTGGAAACATAAACACTATGACGCATAATGCATGGTTGCCCAGACCTAAGGAACATCCTGGAAAATAGCCATCACTGGTAGCGAAGGAGAAAAAGAAACATATTGGAAAATTCATTCAAGGCAGGCGGGTATGAGACTCATGAGAAAAGCTGTTTGAGCTTTAGTTAGGCCAATGTAATTAAAGATCCACGAAAAGCTAAAGATAAGATCCAGCAGCATATTTTGGAACCAGCACAATTTGCCAGAATTTGGTCATTCTTCCCCACTTCCTTTTACTGTATCCCCTCAGGTGTTCCCTCAATACTGTAGATCAACCATTCTCAATCTTTATTTGGCCTTGGCCATAAACACAATAGGATAGAAATACCGGCCAAATCAGGATTGTATAAGTTGCATAATGAACTTTATAAAGAAGTGTGTGAAGCTTTGTTTCCAGTCTGTGGCCTCCTTCAAATGTGCCAGGGGCCTCTGAGGAGCCAAATGGCCACTGTTGAGAATGGCTGCTCTAGAAGGCTTTTTAGCCCACAAGAACATGAAAGGCTTTTAGGGTGCACAGGGAGAAAACAGTGAGATCACAGAAATACAGAAAAATGAAGTTGGAAGGGACCTATAATGCCATTCAATCCAACCCCCTGCTCAGTGGCAGAACTATACTTCTGGCTGAAGTACATTGCTTGGAACCACACCTATCTTTCAGATTTGCAGGCGAGAGGATAAAGAGATCCCCTTTTGACTATACAAAATAATAATAGAAAAAGGGTGCCATGATATCCCCTCATTGCCAGTGTAGAAGCCTTCAGTAGGTCTGCTCTCAACCTAAATATAGATGCATTGTTCTTTTTTCTGTGATTCAGCTGTGCAACTTAAACATCCAGCCATTATGTTTCTGCATCAGGTCTTTTACTCTAATTGTCCCATAAGCTTATTCATGATAGACTAAGAAACGTAATCTGCCTATTTCCTTTCCTCCTTAATTAGTGATC